CAGAAAATGCTCTCTGAACATCTCTGTGGCTGCTGGAAACAGTGTCCCTTCTGTGGAGCAATTTGTACAAACACAATCCCTAACCATGATGGAGACCACAGTGTTCCTTTCCACCGTCCTCAGGCTGTCAGAGGATGGACATGGGTTAACACAGACCACTTTACCACTGACTACTGTACTAGTTTGGTCGCAAGTGATTGTTATTTTATTTTGAAGGATGGTCGTAAAACCCCATATAAGACCTATCGACAGGCAGGAGGGGAATATGCCACATGGAGCATCTGCCCAGACACATCCACCCAGACATACTGGAAATGGTTTGTCTGTCACTTCAGAAAGAAGCTAGAAGAAAAATGTCAGAGAAAATTTACAGGCAGAGGTGAAATCCCTCATGCATGGACCAACATCACAAAGCAAAATGTGCTTGATGATTTGAAAAAGCAATAATACTCAATGCCCACAAAAGAGTACCAGAATCTGAACAAGAGTCACAGTACTTGAACAATCTAAAAATACCTCTTCCTCACAATTATTTCTATTTTTTCAAATGGAATGGCTAAATATAATTCAAATAACATTTTAAAAGTTAAAGATTTTCTGTTGAAAGGACTTCCTTTTTTATCTCAATTCCTTTTGGTTGAAAAACAAATTGCTAAAATGTATTAAAACACAATAAAATAAATAATATCTATTTAAAATTCCTACTTCATATTTTAAGCAATTATTCAGAATACCTTTTATTTTAAAATATATAATACTATATGCAATCCCAGAGAAAGTTGTTTTCATGGAGGGAAATCAAAATCATTATAGACAGCTATAAATTTCTATAGATTAACTATGTGAACATTTCAAATGAATGTACAGTTCTTGGCTGAATGCTACAAATTGCCTCTGAAATCTTGAGAAAAAGTTAACCCTTGAATGAAAAAATATTGATGGAAAGATGATTCTCAAGCATTGTGATATTTAGACATATTCTGTTCTGGGAAATAACACGGACTTGACAGAGGCTTATCAATTCAGGAAACATTATTAAGCAAATATAGAAAATTGAAATTGAATTATTGTCTTTCTCATGTAAGTATCATCCTCATCTTCTCTGGCATCTTGGCAGTTCCCTATGCCACGCTGAAAAAAAATTAAGGTCCATAAGAGCTTAGGTATTCAAAGCCTGGTATTTGCAAAAGCTTAAAAAGACCTGGATTTTGGAACAATGTTCATGAGCAGGTGAGAAGGGCCACTTTAATCAAGGCTGTGAACAAAGGCCAAATTTCATTATGCCATTGATAATTTTAAAAACTATTCCTTTAAGAATAAAATAGCAAAGAATATTTGGATTCTGATTATTTCAATAAGTTACTTTTTGTATACTAAAATGTAAGGAAATGCTTATCTCCAAAATAGGCACTTTTATGACTTTTCACACTGTATGAGTCATAGGATCATGATCAGAATACAAATGAAAAACTCTCTGATGGTAACCAAGAATCTGAGAGGGGAAAGAAATCACCAATCTGCAAATCTACACCTTCTGAAACAATGACTTATGCTAGGTTCTCAAAGCTAATGACTGAAAGTAATCTTGATACAAAGAAAATGCCTTCATGTTGGACATTAAGAGGATCCATGTCTTCCCTTTACAGGCACACTCTCTATCCCTCCATAGCCAGTGTAAACAGACAATGAACAGCAGTCAAAAACTTGTATCTTCTGGTCTGGGAGATAATGCTGATTCTGCTTTTGAATCCCCAAAGAGCTTCAAGCATACTCTCAGTTTGAGGTCAAATGACCCATGTCTCCAAAAGAAAAATTAAGGAAAGTCAAATGACCCATGTCTCCAAAAGAAAAATTATAAAGGAAACAGGTGTCCTAGAACAGTATAGTTTCCCTTTTGTTCTCTGGAAAATAGTCTCAGTAAGAGTTGGAAGGACCTCTGTTATAGTAACATATAGAAATGTTTAAAAATGCTTTTAAAATGTCTAAACATGATAAAAAGGTTTTAAAATGTGTGAATTAACTTTCTTGAAACTTAAAGTGTGATATTAAGGACACATTCCCCACTGCCCTGAAGAGTTTATACCCCATAGATAAGGATTTGAACTTCAATTACTGACTCAGAATGACTTTCTAAGATAACGATATGTGTGAGTAATGTACTCTCCCTAAAAAACCACAAATAGCCCCTCGCCTTGCTTAAGATTAACATGTGTGCATGGATGTAATTCATTGATAGCCACCTAAACTGCTGTGGGTAGGAACAGGCTTCAAAAATGGATCCTGGCCAGCCAACAATGCTCACCTTTCGAGACAGCCACGAAGGCACATCCCTTTGTCAGTCTGTCAAGCGACACCACTCCAAGCTCCTCTCCCTGCCAGAGGACAAAGAAATGGCTAGTACCTCCCAGTCAAGGAGCAAAAGGTGAGGAACTCCGGCCCACTGCATCCAGACCAGACCAGCTGCCGGGCCCCAGAGAACAGCACCACTGAGATCCCATCAAGCCTGTACCCGCAGCATCAAAAACTTTCTTAAGTGATAAAGTGCTGTGTGATTAGCAACTGCATATGTTTCATGTGGTATGATTCCTCTGGCAGTTAATTAAATCAATTTGCATATGCGTAAAATTAAAATTAAAACTTCTGCTCTTTTCAGTCCTAGGCCTCCCCTTGGTCCTGCTTGCATACAGTAGCCTCTTCGCTAGCAAGTACTTAAATGTCCCAACACCTGCAAGGTTAAAATTTATCAAAAGGGACGTCTTAAATAAACACCCCAGATCCTTTCCAGGGATCCACATGGGACAACCTCCTAATATGATCATATTGAAATGGTGACAGAAACAGAATCCCTTGTATACCCTGGAGCATGGCTCTCACAAGACTGCACCCCTTAAAACTGCAATGTTCAATTAACATTTGCTGAATGCTTTTGTTATTTGTTTAATGAATCTAGAATGGCCTTTAAGAGGTATCATGTGCTATACATTAACTTTGATTTTCAATCTAAAATTGTTGTCTATAAATAAAAATCACCTTTGATAAATTCCTCAGACATTTAAGCAGTGTGATTATTAAATGAGATTTAGGCCAGAGCCTGT